ATAATATATATATACATGCATATATATATATATATATATATATATATATATATATAAATATACACACACACACATTTATATAAATAGCAAAGTTACAGTCAGTCACTGCCAAAACAATGAAAATTTCAATAATTTGACCTTCAATAAAGACAATGTCATTAATGAGTGAAGGTCAAGGTCTTTCGGTATATTTTTAACAGTTATCTTTGAAGATTATTATGTTCAAGTTTGAAGACAATCCATTCAAAAATAACAAAGTTACAGCCAATAATAGCCAAAAAAATTAAAATTTCAATAATTTGACCTTCAAAGTCAAGGTCATTGATGAGTGAAGGTCAAGGTCTGACTGGTTATTTTTAAGGGATATCCTTGAAGATTATCATGTTCAAGTTTGAAGACAATCCATTAAAAAATAACAAAGTTACAGCCAATAACAGCATGAACAAGCAAAAATTGGACTTTTAACCTTGAAGGTCAAGGTCATTTATGGATGAAGGTTAAGGTTAGTGTGGTCTACTGAAAGGTCTTGTCCCAAGGGTTGTTGTGGCCAAGTATGAAGACAATACACCAAGAAATAAAAAAGTTATGATCCAGGTACAAGTTTTCGGACGGCAACGGCAACGGCAACGGCAACGGCAACGGCAACGGCAACGCCGACCTGACTATAACAATACCTCTACTTTTTTTTTCAAAAAAAAAAAAGTCGAGCTAAAAATACTCGGTAGCATGAAAAAAAATGTGTTATAAATGAATTTAACATTATAAAACATCTAGAACCAATTTACCTGGCAACAACATACAGGGTTCTGATAGCCAACAACATACACTGAAATGAAAACATATTCATTTGAAATCTGACAAAAATAAATATGGTACTGTGCCATATACATGTACTTTGACATAACAAGATACAGTTTTAAGAACAATACATGTAGATGCTGCAGTTTTAAGACTAGTCAGATGTAATTAAATTTCAATAGGAACATGACAGTTTATACCCCGGTCACACATTCACGGAATACGCCCACGGAAGAGCCACGGATTAATTCCGGCATCGTCCGTAGCTACCCGTACTAGTCAGTAGCTCTCCGTATTGTAACCGTAATCAATCGTAGTAGTCCTTGTATATCCGTAGCGATCCTTGACAATTTTTGAACATGCACAAAAATTTGCTACGGAAAAATCAACCGTAGCGTATCCCTACTAGTCCTTATTAATCCGAACTGATACGTACTGGTCCGTACGAAAACCGTTCTAGTCCGTACAGATTCGTAGTCCACCAACTTGTCAAGGATTTCCACGGTTTGGTACGGAGACCTACGTATTTGTATGGTTACCCTACGTATAAGCTACGGTTTTAATACGGATTAATACGGCATTGTCACAGAAAGCCACGATCGTAATACGTTGTACTACGGAGAGACAAGGATTAGCACGGTCTTATACGGTTTATTGCGTTGCAACACGAAACGGTACGGAATGGTACGGTCCACCACTGTTTAGTACGGATGAATTAAGTATCATGTACTTTTTCAAGGGTATAAATACTACCTTCTTGTTAAAAACAGACATATTTGCGGAAACATTTAATAAATGATAATTGCCATTTTCTGGCTGCAACTTTATATTGAAATGGCTCAGAATGTGGAGGCAGTGGTCGAGCTGCTTGATGACATGCATAGAGGTACAATATATATTATTATCGTACTGCAATTCATAAGTAATAGAATAACATTTAATGTTACATATTTTACAAACATTGGAGTAAATATGTACATAAAACGAAGGGTCTCATAAGCCTCGGAGGCTGGTCCTTGAGTGATAATAAGATTAATTAACAAGCTTTTTACATATTTCTAAAACATTAACATCACGATAATTAATGTAATTGTAAGATGAACAGCAAATATTAAAACTAAAAGAGAAGCAGTATTGATCAACATTTTTCATTAATGATTACTAGTCCATATCTAATCAGGTAAGAGAAGACAGACGAGATGGTGGACTAGAGATGGGCTTTTACGAAGACCGCTTGAAGTTTAGTATGAGGCTCTCATGGCCGAACATGTTGAGGATCCAGCGTCCTTCAAGAAATTCACTTTAATCGGACCTGATGTGTCTCGGGGGTCGGACGCGATTGGGCTGAGTCCTCTCCGCCAAAATCATTGAACTCTGCAATTCGTTTTCTAGGTGTTCTTTTATTTTCAGACATTTTGAAAATGAGCAAGCAAAAGGTTGTGGACGGATGTATTAGGTCCGTATAGATCCGTGGCGATTCGCTCTTCTCCGTATCAATACGTTCTTCTCCGTATCAGACCGTACTTATTCGTACTAACCCGTGCTTATACCGTAGCAGACCGTATTGTATCCGTAGTGCGTCCGTCCTGATTCGTGTCGCTCCGTATCAAACCGTGTCGGTCCGTAACAATCCGTGTCTCTCCGGGGACTTTTGGTGGTAAATCCGTCGGACTCCGTACTCATACCGTTGTGTGTCCGTACTGGAACAGTAGCGGACTACAAAATTTCACATTTCCGTAGTAATCCGTGAACGATTAGACCGTAGCTTTTCCGTAGCATTATCCGTGAATATGTGACCGGGGCATTACTCTGGGATGTCAGTATGTTTGAAAGAAACTGTAAGCACATACATAACTGTCAGAGAAGAATGTTAAGAAATAACCAAAGAAGGCAAATTTGGCAGAAAGTGCCACAATAAATCTCCTGTTTACCACTACGCTTTTTTTACCTGGGCTGATGACAAAACATCAAGATCCTATTATCAGCTCCCTTTAATTTTAATCTTTAAATCATCACCTGAAAAGATGCTGCAACTTCATATTACATTTTTCTAATGCAAAACAAATAATTTAATATGTCAAGATTATCACCTCTGCAGCCATGAAGGCGAAGATAGTGAGGCCCATTTGAAGTCCTACGATGGCACACACTGCTAGTAATCCACAACATGATATCACTATCACACACAGTAGAGATAGTAACTTTATGTGGATAAAACGTGGAGTAGTTGGAGAAAATGATACCTGAAATACAGCAAGGCATAACATCAATAGTGCATTTTAGTTATATAATACTGATACTTATTGATTAACCAATTATTACTCTTTTATTGACCCAATGATGTTTTCAGAATGCACACAAACATACACCATTTGAGACGCTTGTTTCAACGTAGCTCTGAAAAGAAAGTTTTGTGGGTGTATGACCATTTTCAAAACAAATATTAATATAGTGGCCCACTGTAACAAACTAACAATACATTTGTAAGAAATGAATCAGAACAATAGGTTACATTGTAATTGTTATTGGTTTTGAAAAATATCAAAACAACACCAAATATAAGATTTGTATAATTGTTGCTTTTTTTAACCAAATACATACCCATCACTATAGAGATGATGTAGAAAACGATAATAGAAACAATTAAATTTACTAAGCAATTAAAACTAACTTACATATTCAAATCTATCTTTGGCCAACTGTGTTAAAAGATGGAAGAAACCAAGCACTGTGAACCAAGCTACCCATAATACTACCTCCTCCATTGTCTGTACATTCATTACACCAAACACAAATATAAACTTGTAGAACAAAAAGTTCCAGAATTTATCTTTCAAGTGCTGCAATATAAATAAAATTAAAACTTACTTAGTTGATGTGTTTTTTTTAACTATTATTAAGTTTGAGAAGTACATTGTACTCAGGAATATACAGTTTTTAATAAACAATTATTGCTATTACTGTATCAATTAATATACATGTATATAATAATTTATATAATACATACTTAAATGGTATGTCCTTGTAAGATACCTGGATATACTTCTATAACAGAAGCTCATATAGAATATTTGACTCTGATAAGTCTACTTTAATTAGCTCATATTAAATGGATATGCCAGGAATATTCATCATTTCAAATGTAGAATAAAATTGTTTACATCAGCATTCTTATATTCTAACAATACTAAAAGAAATTATGTTTAAACTTGTATAGTTAGACTCATTCTAGCTTATTCAAAACATGTACTATGAACCATCACTACTTTCTTCTTGAAACAAGCACAATACTGACATGGCCATCCCCTCCTTAATTTGTTTGCTTGCTGCAAAAACTGCATTGTACATGTATGTGTACATGTATGTGTTACAGGTCAGAATAACTCATTTTTTTTTAAAAAAATTAATGCTTGATGTCATCTTTTTATATTTCATTCTAAATATACAGTTTTGGACTTTTAGAAATAATTGGTCAGTGAACTTAACAGCCAAGGACCAACACCTGGTAAAGTTAAAGCATACCAATTATCTATAGATTAAACAAATTAAAGAAAGATTGGCATGAACATTAATTTAAACTGTGTAGAGTAAAACATACATCTCCAGCAAAGAAAACTTAATTAAGTACCTGTTGTTCACTGACACGAAGTTCGCCAAACACAACTTTCTGAACTAACTTTCCAAGAAGAATCAGACAGCAATATGCGGTGTTCACCAACGTCTGCAAAAGGTATCAGTCTCTTGTACAATGTATATTTTAGTCTGTTAATATATTGCATTTTTACAACAGACAATATAAAGTACATGTAATTGAAAGAACAATTAATTTCAATCATGATGTATTATAAATACAATGTACATGTAACATGTAAGTTGTTACTGCAGGGTCGGGTGGAAATTTTAATTAATAGGTGATTAAATTAATATCTGCAAAGAATGGGATTTAACATTGCCAATTTACCATTGCTGGAAAGATACCCGAATATGAACGAGAATGAGGAACATGAACCTTATAATTCATGCAGTGTATAAAATAGATCACAAAAGTATAGATTAAAAAATAGATATTTCAAACTATAACTTTCATTTATGATGGTTAATATTTGCTGGGTAAAATTTGACATAAGATTCATTGTGTATAATTTAGCCACCATGGCCAAAATACTGTATATGAATACTAAAGTTTTTTCTTTTATTTCTAACCTTATATGTAAATAAACTGAGCTATATTGTTAATATTTCGGTTAGTAATAAAAGCCTGAAAAGAAACCTTGTTTTAACATAGATGATAGATCTATGACAGTTTGCTGTAGTTACTGTGACTTGCTATACTGTAAAGATTTAATTCATATTCTTGAACAAGAACAAAGATAATGAATATGAATATTAAATAGATATGAATGAACTTTGTCATAAGTTTCGTAATAAAGACTATTATTACATGTATTTACTTGCAGCATGTCACTGAATGAAATTCAATCAATTTATTAAATTGGTTGCAAGTTATTGTGACCAGAAAGATACCAGAATCACAAGAATACCCAAATTATATGAATATTATTTTGATCATGTATACATGTATATAAAAAACAACACTTATAAAATACTATTATTTTATACTTAATTTTTTAATATACAAAATTAATATTCACTGATGTTTACAGTGGTTTTTTCATTATATAACCGTTCCCAATAGAAAATAGACAACAAATTACCCAATTCATGACTGATAAATTCCCAAAATAACACTGAAAATTTCCTCAAAAATCGGCAAATTTAAAGGTAAACAAAAACAGAAATGCCATTGATAAGTAATATGTGATAAAAACCAAGTAAAACCACTGAGTGATATTCGTACCTAGTTAATTTCGTACTTTTAGTGTTTCACACCTTAACTTTATTTATGTACAATTGTTATGATTATCTTTTTTTTTAAACTCAAGAAGCATAAAGTTAATAATACATGGTTTTAAAGTAATTTTTATGCATAATTTTCATGTCTCCCTGGATAAAAAAAATTCCCAAAGAATATTTTGCATCTTATGTAAAATTCCCAATTTGAGTCAAACCGATGAATTTTTTTCCTAATCTGTCTGGCACCGGCACCATTCCCAAAGTAGGGGAAAAAACACTGGTTTATGTTAATTCTTGTGTAAATATTTGACCCTACGCCAAAATTTTATGAAAAAAATATTCGGTATTCTCTTCATATTTTCGAATTTATTCGGTATTTAGTCATACCCATTATACGGGATATACATATGTGTGATATTTGAGCAATAGTTGTATTGTGGCCAGGCTTTTGACTATCTTACTGATTATTGGACTGGCACAAGGGCAAATACTCACCCATACACACCAAGCCTCTGCTGTAAGGACATATACCATATTCCAGATGAGATGATCATATGGAAGGGATACATTCATGTACTGTGGGTTGTCATTCTCATCATTTGGATTTTCAGTAATCTGAAGTCCATCGGTTTGGGCCGTCTGAACAACCTGGTGGGCGTAAAAAACAGCACATGCTAACAGAATCACGCTAAATCCTGTATATGCTCTGAGGCTTGGCAAAGGTATTCGTTCTAATAAAATGACAGGCATTGTTTTAACACAGGTAATTAACTGTTTGCAGTATTTGATGTCAAGCTAAATTGTCAACAAACTGAAAATTTGCCATGACGTCATATACCGGAAATATACGTAATTTAACTGGTTCCCTGCCCGACATATTTTCTAAATTGTAAGAGGCTGGCATCCAGATATCATGTCAGGAACCATACTAACCACCTTACGGAATAAAGCGGACAGAACCGGGGATTACCGAGTGTAAGGATAAGCCGGTTAAATGAAATGCTAAAATCATGACTGTTTTAATTGGTAATTATAAGTTCACATACATTTAAAATATTTCAATGTTATTTATTGTTCTAGTATTTCAGGCTTTTGCAGTGCCATTACTTATTTTGAGTGTTGCATAACTCACTCTAATAGGATTATGTTCGCCCATCAAACTTTCGTACTCGTACTTGGGCAGATATTCAGATATTTACAGGATGCAGGATTCTGCAGCTGCATCCTTATAGTCCAATTAAATCCCAACTGGGAGGCTCAATTTTTTTACCTCTTGAATTCGACTGGATGCAGAAAAATATAATACTTGTTTCATAAAAATTGCATTAACAACTGATTAATGCAGTTCATAAGTGTAATCTAGTCCAGCTTATTGTACTGCACGACAAGATAAAATTGTGCGATTTTGTGCCTGGGTTATATATTGTCTAGAAGCAAGATTCTGACCCAGAACGAAAATATCTAGCTTGGCACGTCAATATATTTTGACTATTAAAAGTGTAAACTTGCATCATGTAAGATTTAGAGACAGAGCGCCATTTGTCAGGCAACGGCACTGGGGGTGGACAGACAAGATAAAATTGTGCGATTTTGTACCTGTGTTATATATTGTCTAGAAGCAAGATTCTGACCCAGAACGAAAATATCTAGCTTGGCACGTAAATATATTTTGACTATTAAAAGTGTAAACTTGCATCATGTAAGATTGAGAGACAGAGCGCCATTTGTCAGGCAACGGCACTGGGGGTGGACAGAAGATCAAGACAGGGCGGACTGAGGTTTGAGAGGAGGCGGATCATGCATTAATTTTAAATTCAATATACATCATCGTAACATCACAATTTTGTTTCAATATATTATATCATAAAGTTGTCTTATATTGGTCCTGATGAAGATCAATTTAATTAATTGTAATGATCAAAACTAGTAGACTTTATAAATTTAAATTTAATTTCAACCTATTAGGTGCTTTCTCTTACTCCTCCTCTGTCTTCAGTTTATATATTAAAGCAGTTTATTACTTTTGAAAAAAATGTATTCAAAATAAGTCACCAATTATAAAAGTTGAATGATACTGATATATATTCTATACCTGAATTCTTTTGTCATATGTACAACAGATACTGTTATTTTCAATATTGTAATATAGATATTTTATTGTTTGACTTTGACACAATAATCTATAACCATGTTAAGGATGAGGAGCGAAATGCTCAAATCCAAAAAAAAAAGATTCATGTTCAATTGTTCATATAGAATATAAAATAAATGTAAGTTTTCACAAAATCATCTTTTGTACATACTATGTTTTCAGGAGGAGGTAGAGGATTTGTCGGCAAACATTTGACCAAAGTTTTGAAAAATAATGGATATGATGTGACAATAATTTCAAGGCAGGCAGCAAAAGGTCAAATAACATGGGTATGAAAGATACATCAAAATAGTTCTTATTTATTTCCTCAAGTAACATGTGTCTATATAAACCCTCTGAATGCCGACAAAGAAATAAGGACTGTCCTTATATATAGCGCTAATTAAAGCCAGTTTTTACCTACATATAATTATGTGCAGTTTCACCACCACACTATATGCTGTTGACTGCACCATTTAAGATTTTTTTCTATTAAAAAAATACAACCCTTGAAAAAGCAATGACCACTTAATAATTTATAGAAAAGTAAGTTAATTTCACAAATGAAGGCAATTATATCACTTTAAATGTTTAGTGTTTGTAATAATATAAAAAGCAGTCATATTACATGTTGTTTTTTTCTCTTAGTTATTTATACTTATAGATTAATCTATTTTTAGTCAGAAGTGGAAAGGAACGGACTACCAAATGATTGTAAAGCAGTGGTAAATGTTGCTGGTGAAAATATTCTCAATATGTTGAAAAGGTATTTATTCTATTCTTACCATTTAGATAATTATGCTGCCCCCAAAGGGCAGTGTGGCATATCTTTTTATTTGTGTCTCTAGCTAGATGTTTTAATTTTGTCTGGACCATAACTGTGATATATGGATGGATTTTGAAATAATTTGCATAACTGTAAAGCACATTGAGATGATTTGTCGCAAGCAAGACCAGGGTCTGTAGTTCAAAGGTTAAGGTCACACTTTGACTTGAAAGAAATTTTCATAAATGTTCATTGATGGTCAGGTGATGAATCAACAAATCTGTCATTCCAAGATGGATTTTTAAATAACTTGGCATAAATGTGTTTTAACAAGGTACCTGTGTGTTTGGATTCTTTCATGTGAGGAAGCTATCCAGCTAGCTTACGGAACGTCGGTGGTTCTACTCAGATGCCTGTTCGTGCCTGAAATAATGCACGGAAGGACGAATGAGGTCTTCCTCCACCTGTAAAGCTGGAATGTCGCGATATGACCTATACTGTGCCGATGTGACGTAAAACCCAAAACAAACAAACAAAACCTGTTGTTTCATCAGCAGCTCAAAGGTGCTGGTGTCAAAGGTCACACTTGTTGTTCAGACATATGAATGAATAGAAGTTCCTATCTGTTTCAAGATTTTATCATTCATGGGTTCAGATATTGAAATACTGTAAAACAAATTTATTCAATTTATTGGCACAAAATTTTCTTGCAAATAGCATAAATAGCGAGTTTGTGTGGGTCTTAAACCCATGATTTCAAATTTAAAAAAAACTCTATACATAGATAAATATTAAAAAATTGTTTTATTTGTATATTTTCAATTTCTTAAAAAAAAAATTCAATATGGTATGTAAATTTGTCAATCACTTTGAATAATCTCACATGTCAAACTCTTAATTTGCATGCAATAACACAAAACTTTGTATACTAGAAATTTGTGGTGGAACAAAAGTTTAAAATTTGACTTTTTTAAATTTCCCATTTTTTTTTTATGATTGATTTAAAGTAAAAACACTACCAGATGAAAAAATTGGGGGTCCCTTTTCTGATGGGTTTTTAAGGTTTTGACTTTAAACAAAATGCCCTTTTGCCCGTGGGTAGGGACAGCAATCCAGCTGCAACGGGAACCCTTTGGGGGTTTACCAGGACCATTCCCCCTGAAATAATGCCCCAAAGCCCCCACCGAGGCTTCCTCCACCCGAAAAATTGGAACACTTCCCTAGACCTAACTTTGTGTGTAGTAAAACCAAATATAAAAACAAACAACTGAAAATAAAAATATATTCAAGTTTTCCAAACAGAATAAACACAACCTGAGGCCCCTTTTTGATACGATTACTAACAAGAATGTACACAGGACTGATTTTTTAAAATGCAAAATATTACAATGTCTTACTCAGCTAACAAGTGACCAAAATTTTCCAATAAGGCTTTTATCAGTAATTTTTTAAAAATTTCTCCATAATTTAAATTTTTAAAAAAACAAAAAATTTTCTTTTTTGGCAATTTAAATTTTTCTTTATTTAAAAAATGTTATTTTTTAAAAAAAACTGTTCTCACTGCAAAGGCAAAATTTTACCAGAAACCTATAAGGCACAGACGATTTCTAGATTGCAAAGTCTAGCGAAAACTGGGAGGAGTTTTTCTGAAAAAAAACCCAAAAACAGGATTTTTGTAAAGTACTAAAACATATTAGTTTTTTTAAGTTCACCCAAAAAATTAGGGACATAATATGAAAAAAACACATTTTAATAAAATTTTCAAATTTTAATTAAAAGGTCATTCTTATAAATAATTATAGGAGACTATTTTTGTTACAAATATTTTACAAGTACAATCATAAATTTCCCCTGTATAAGGGGTTTGGTCACTTTATAA